TCTCAGTACTATAGGTGAGAGGAGATGACACTTTGACTGTTGGGGAAGTGGCTTCTGTGGAGCTTATGCTGGTTGAGACTGGAAGCACAGGTAGAGTGCTTACTCTGATCGGCTCTTTACTTGAGGTAGACGACAGAGTAGGACTAAAAGTAGATGGTGAGGGGATAGTTGTGGTACGTGTGAAAAGTGTCAAAGACTCTGTTGGCTTGCTTGTTGTAGAGGTGCCTGAGAGAGTTTCTGAGATAGACATTGGGCTAGTTTGCAGTGTGGTGGAGGAAGTGGAACTGTGGGTGATGGTTGATGCTTTAGTGGTTCTCTCAGTAGAAGCCAGCGGACTTGTGGAGGAAGTGGATGTTGTTAATGTGGTAATGGTTTCCATCACTCCAGGTCTGATAGGAGAAGATGTAAGCTTTGCAGTGCTTGGCATGTGTGCTGTAGGTGTAGAAGCAGTGGTGCTAGACTCTGATACTGTTGAAGAAGTGAGTGATATAGAAACCGCTCCACCACTCAAGGTGGAATGCTCTGAGGAGGATGTTGATGATATTGCAGTACTGGGTGGCGTGAATGGAGGAACAACGGCAGGCTTAATGCCTAAACACAAACACGATTTTTATTAGACACTGCACAAAATATCTAATATAAACTGATATAGCTAATTGTGTTACGTCAAGCTATGTAAACTGGAGCTTGGATTTACTATGGCAATAAAAAGACAAACAACAAAATTATTTTTAAATTGCTCCATTTACAACTAGTGGTAAGAAATGTTTTTCTCAAAGATTGCTAGCATTAGGGCTGGTTAAAATGGCATTTACGAAGTTGTAACTGGAAGGTAACATAAGCTGCCTTATTCAAATCACGTGACAATGATTGTGGAAGTAAATTCCAACCTATCATTTACCTCATTCAAATAAAAATGGTCAGTGATTTTATTTGACACCAGCATTAGTAATAGAAGTAGCAGAAACAGTATCTTACAGTCCTCCATAAAGACACATCTGTGAGTGACCTCATCTAGAACCATGTGACTTGGACACTGAGGCAGGCATCCCTCAACCCTACAGAAAGGTGCACGTCAGCCATACACTTACACAATTTAGATACTTGTAGATATTTGCAGAAAACGAACATTCATGAACATGAATGTGTGTGCTCTTACTTCAGGATACTGGCACAGCTCAAACCTGATGGGTCATTGCATGTCCTGAAGCACGGACTCACACATGA